ACGTTTTTTTTTGTAAAAATTTGTTACATAATAAATCTCGAATTCCCCTACCCCTTGTAAGATTTTATCATGGATGTCTCGGTACATTCATGGACTTAATAACACAAAATCTTAATCCCTCTTCGCTCCCTCTTAAAAGTGTTACGCAAAAATGTTCTAACATTTTAGCTTGAATGACACTTTAATAATTAATATTTGGTGTGAAAATTTTTGTAGATTATTATTAATAATTTTTAATTATTAACCTGAATATAAACATTCTTTAAGGGTATTGGCAATCGTCAGAAAGTCAAGATTTTTCTTTGGATCTGATGCTATACCCTGTATCCATGTATCACCTATTTCGCAATCTATTACTGGCAATCTATGCATTTGTTGTTCATACACCAGTTTAAAAAACGTTTCCAGGTTATCTGATTTCAAAACAGCTTTCGGAAATTCAGAACGAAGAATTTCATATGCACTTAAAACCTCCTTTCAAATTGTTTTAAAAAATTATTCGTCTAAGACTGCTAATAAATACAAAAAGTTAAATAAGTTAAACAATTTTAATTATCAAGATGTAGTTTCTTTTGTTGACTCAAGCTGCTCAAAAATTATTCAGTAATATTAGAAATATGCAAGGAATGACATAGGATAAAATAGGTTAAAGGTTTGTGTGGTAAAATGAAATAATCGCATAATACTTTTTGGATCATAAACATTTTTGTTTCATTTTACAACTTTAAACACATCATCGTTGCAATAAAATGTAGTGTTTAATCATTTGCTTTTTGTTTATAAATTATATCAAACAGACAGAGGTAACGAAGAATTAAAATGTTATTGATCTTCTCTTAATTTTTGAAGTAATTCCTGTTTAAATATCAATTTATAAATCGCAGAAATATTTCTTAATGCTATAATTTCTTTTATCTAATTCCTTACTTCACCTTCTGTTTATCCTATTTATCCCAACAAATATTTTAGCGTATTCAAATCAGCACCTCAAATTAAGTTTTAAATTATTATTAAAATTTAACTAAAGCATTAAAAAGAACAAAATTCAATAAGATACAAGCAATAGTTGCATTAAAAAACTGTTAAAAAATTTTATTGTAGTGTTTATCTTTTAAATGCGTTGAAAGTGAAATTTCAACTTAGAGTTTATGGGTATGCAAAACGAGATAGCATCACTTTAAGTGTTGGAATAATTTTTATACAATAAAGTTAACAGATTTTGGTCTCGAGAACATATTTAGACAAAATATATTTGTACACAAACGCTTTATTCTAATTTGGGATTTTGATCGATAATACTTATTATATGTTTTACGTTAAGTGCGTTTAATCATTAGACATAATGTGAATGCCTAACAAAAGCAAAACTTCTGGTTACGTAACACTCTATCAAATGAAACACGAAAAAATTAAAATTCAAGGATGTAACACATCAATATATTCATAAAATATCAACTACATATAAAGGCAAGACCCGTAGAATAAACACTAGCCACTTTTAAAGCGAACCTAAGTATTTCTATATCAATAAATAGAGCATAAGTGTGAGCAACCATATATTTATGACCAATGTAATATTACTATATTATAATATAATATATGCTGATGATATCGTTTTAACAGCCACGTCTGAGCAGAATGCAGCACAGATGTTTGAAGATTGGAATACCAGACTCGTCGATCATGGATTCAAAGTCAACATTAGCAAAACCAAAGCAATGAACACTGGTGAACCCATCCAATCCACAGCTACTGGACGATGGCCCTGTTCAGTTTGTAAAGCTGGTGTAGGTAACAATTCAATCAAGTGTCAGCATGTAACCAGTGGTGTCACAAACGTTGTTCAAAAATAATTGGTACTTTATCTAAAGTGTCCAATTTTGTTTGTCCTGCTTGCATCAATCCACAACAACAAATTCGAAATAGCAATGTTTTTGAAGCCATAAAGGTAGAGAAAGTCACATCGTTTCAATATCTAGAGGATGTTCTGGATTGTACTGGAACAGCTGAAGCTGCTGTTCGAGCACGCATACGTGCAGCCTGGAATAAAAGGCATCTCCTTGCCTCTATATTGATGCGGCGTGACATCCTACTACCACTACGATCAAGACTTTATAAATCTGTGATACGTCCGGTGTTATTATATGGTGCAGAAACATGGCCAATGACAACCAAACTGGAACAACAACTGGATAGCTTACCAGGATAGCAATAATATCTATTCTAAAGACAGTTTTTAGACGTTTTTTCATTTGCTCGGTCTTTTACTCTATAAGTCTTAAAAAATTGGTTTTTTCTAAATAGCTAGAGTTGTTCCAATTTATAAACTTAACTCAGTTCATAATGTTGAAAATTACAGACCGATTAGCATTCTAATTTCAGTTTCAAAAATTCTCGAAGAGATTGTCGAGGTAAAATTAGATTTATTTTTGGGCGATAACTGCGTGATCACAAAAAATTAGTTCGGCTTACGTAAGAGGCGCTCCACGGATGATGCCGTTATGGATGCGATGAACGAGATTGTTTTTGGTTTGGGAGCAGAAATGTCGATCTCAGTTTTTTTCCTGGATTTTGCAAAAGCTTTCGACTCGGTCCCACATGATATATTGTTAATGAAGATGGATTTTTCTCAAATGGTTTGCGAGCTACTTGTCGGCAAGACTTCAGCATGAGAGTTTTTACTCCACCCTGAGACAAGTGTGCTGTGGTGTACCACATGGCAGTATTTTAGAACATAAGTTGTTTAATCTTTTTATTAATGATATTGTCAATGCCTTTGATTAATCTACTTTCACCACATATGCAGATGATACGACTATGATAACATCGCATCACAAGATATCTGATCTAGAGATAATATCGGCCTGCACAATATCAATAACTGGACAGTTTTAAATAAAATTAGTCTAAATATTAAAAAAAACAAAGTATAATGTCTTTACCAAGAAAAAAATATCTTAAATAATTTTACTTTAAGAATTGGTGATAAATTAATTGAAAGTGTAGATGAATTTAAACTGCTTAGAATTGTAATTGACTTTAAAATGATTTTTAAAAAACATGTTGATTTAATTTTAATAAAAATAAATAGAAACTTAGGTATAATAAACAGAATCAAAAATCAATTAACAGATAATTTTTTATTGTCTTTTTATTATGTTTTTATCTAGGTATAATAAGCTGAATCAAAAATCAATTAACAGATATTTTATTGTCTTTTTATTATGTTTTTATCTATTCGCATTTAATTCTATTGAAATCTTGTTTGGAGGAATACTTATAAAACTTACTTGCAAAAAATATATGTATTGCAAAAAAGAGTTCTTAAAATTATTCCTTATAGAAAAAAATAAATATCGACATTTTCAACAAATTAAGAATTTTACTTATATACGAATTAAAATTTTTTAAATCGTGTTGCTTCGTCCATAAAACCTTGGACAGTAATAGTCAATTCACTTGCTAGAATCTTTTGTTAAAATTCTCATGATGATAAGTTAGTATATATACGAGGTCACCTAAAGAATTTCTGCTAAAGGATAAATTAATTGAAAAATATAATGTTCGATAGGAATATTTGTATTTATGGAATCTCAAAATGGAATAGACAGCCGTTTTATATTCAATCAGTTGCACATATACGTTTAAATACAAATTAAAACAATTTTTCTTACGTTTAACATAAAGCAGGTTTATTGTTTACTGTAAAATAATGTTTTTAATGTTTATTTTTAATGTTTTTCAAATGTTTTTTACTTGGTTTCAACAATTTAGTCTTTATACATTAATCTGTTTTGGTATTAAATAATATAAATTAAATACGTTTTTCCAATTTCTGTTTTTACATTCATATGTTCACTATTTTTCGTACTGTCCATCAAAGTCTTAACATTAGAGTAGCCGGATTGTACTTCTGTTTTTTCGAAACCTGCTTGCGTTTTTATCTAATGTACTATGCCTTTCCCAGTCGTTTTGTAAGATCATACAGATTATTTAAACAAAAACAATTATCTAATTAATTGTAATTAATTCCAGTTAATATAACTTATATAATTCAAATTATTGTAACAACGTGAATTGATTATTTTCCACACAATTGTTTCGCAACGTCGGTTTTTATAAACAAACAAAATATATTAATGCCAAAAAAACGTTTGTTCATAAAAACGTGTGAACAGTCAGCTGCACAGTTTTATTAAAATGTTATCAATCCGTTCCTATTGCTAGCTAATCTATTGGCCATGCAACAAACTTATTTTATTTTATTTTATTTCAAGTATTTTTAGTATGCCTAATGGAAAAAAATATGAATGAACAGCAGGTTTTATACAAAATTCTTCTTATCGGATTCTATTGAGCTCTACAGAGTTTTTTTCCATAAAGCAGTCAACTCGCATGTTGACTCTTAAAGCAATAAATAAAATAATAATAATTCACTCAGCAAAGTACAAAACTAAATAAAAAAACTGAACAAAAAGTCTTTGATGTGAGTAAGCAACAACTACGTTCAGGTAAACCCGTGCGTATTTGCCTGCGCAGGCTAGCCGGAGCGTGTGTAGGGCTCGTTAAACAGGACTACATACTACGTTTTCGGACCACATAAATGAAGTGGCAATAAGAAAAATTGCAGCATTTTAAATTACGTTTGGTAAAACGCTTAAGTTTTAAAACAATCAAACTTTTAGCAAAAATTTACCGTGCTTAAAAAACGACACAAAATCAAACTGCAAAGCATGCTTAAATGCAGGCCCGGAACTGGGAGGAGGTAAAGGGGGCAAGCGCCCCAAGCGGCAAATTTCATGGGCGGCAATGTTTGAGAAGTTTTAAAATTTAAAAATTAATTCACATTTGTCAAAATTTGTAGCTTAGGGTTGTATCATAATAATAGCGTACAGAGTTTTACTCCCCTTGGCAAATGCGCTAATTCCGACCCTGTTTGAATGCTTGATAACGAGATTTTAAAATATTTGGAAATAGTATCAGTAACATTATTAGAAAAACTAGTCAATCACCTGAACATTTTCAGGAGGTCCCGAATTATCTGTTCTAAAAACAAAACATAAAGCATGCTTGAAGCCTTCCAAAACTATACAGTCATTTCTTGAAAGACCTCTAGGATCGATTGGAGTCGGGCCAGGATTGTTAGGGTAACCACCAGGATGAAATGATGCAACAATGCTTTTATTTAAATATTTCCATCGAAATAACTTTGGAACTGCAGGCGGCGGTGTTCCAGCATTAACTCCAACTGATATACTATTGATGCCTTTATTTAGCAATGATGAAATCACGCCTTGAGATAAGCCTAACAAAAACGATAATTAATTTAACAAAAAATTTGCAAATAAACGTTATTTAAAGTTGATTTTAAATTTTAATTAATCAAAAGTACGCTGAATTCATTGAAAAAAGTGACAAACTATATCAAATAAAAAAATGTGTTGACATAAACCCAATTGCGAGAGTATGTCTTGCTCCATCGTTGTTATATAAACAATGTCTAAATAAATGGCTACAAAATGATGATCACACGATTCAAGTTTTGTGGCTTTTTTACTAACCATTTTAATAATTTGGATAAAGAAAGTTTCAAAATTTCTGTTAATGAAATTTATAATTCTGATGATGTCCGTTGATGTCGAGCTGTAATGTGGTACTTGTACTCGAGTACCACTCGAGTACCAATTTGAAGTACTTGTACTTGACATCTAAGTACTCGTACTTGTAAGTGTTGTTTTACAATGTACTCATACTTAGTCTATTAATAAATTATTTTATTTATTTGACTTTTTAAACCATTACTTTATTTTATTTCCCATACTTTTCATACTAAAACATTTTTTTCTCCGTAATTTATTTTTCGTTATAATTTTATTCTGTTGTCTTGCATGCTGTAACAGTTTGTGCATTTATTAGATTCTGATTTTTTAAAGAATAATAACAAAACTTGTACTTGAAATCCGTGCAAGTACTTTGGGGCCGTCCATATAGGATGTCACGCTTCAAGTGGGGGAGAAGGATGGTCTAAATATCTGTGACACTTAGTGACGAGGGAGAGTAAACGCAATTATGACGTCCATTTTTTAAATAAACAAGACAATAAATAAATTTTCTTTCTTATGTATGCGCATAAATGAATATTAAAGTTTTCAAGCGAGCAAATAGCTCGTGATTATTAATTAAAGGAGAAGTCAAATTTAAATGCCACTGTTAAAGTTTACCGCTGTGTTGGTGTAAAAGTTAATATTAATTCGTTATATTTTAACTAATTTTAACTAAGGTAAAACATTTAGATATCAAACTATCGTCATATAAACTTGTCATTCGTTATTTTGATATCAATAAAAAATAAAATACCTAGAACAATTACATTGTTTAATGACTCTTCACTAAGAGGAGTTGGGGTAAAGTTTTATGACATGCTTATTTTTGGGGAGTTGGTCAATTGGTGGATTTCAGATTTGAGCAGGATTTTTTGTCATCTAAGTTTTAATATACACACATATGTGTCTAAGCATATTGTACATTTATTTGTCTACATGTGAACATGTTAGTGTGTGTTATTTAATGAACGTATTGTATATGTGTGAAATAGTTCGAAGCGTGAAGAATTACAGTTGTACAGCTTGGGCCATATTGGTCAATTGTCCAATGTTAAGCAATTAATTTGCGTATTCGATTTCATTTGCGAATTTCTTTTGCATACAATAGTCGTGTTTGATCACCCGTGCACAACGCCAATAACCGAACTATAACTTTTGATATTTGTAAACGTATTTCTACTCTACATTGTTTCGTGTATTAAGTATAACATGTGGATTAGGTAGAATTATTTGTGTCGAGCGAGAGGTGTGTGTAAGCGTGGTACAATTTCATTGTAACTTCGATCGATCCTGTTTATAATTCAGTAGATAAGATAAGATCGTAAGCCAATGTTGTACAGTGTCCTTGCTATCTCTAGTCCAGTATTTGATTAGTCAGTAGAAATGGAGTGTTAGCCGGCTTCGCATATTTATTCGCCGTTTGCACGTAACGCAGTATCAATTGTTAGTGGTAGTCGTAGTTTTCTTAGATTCGTTGACAGAGTGATAGTAGTAGATCACAGGATACACACAATGTGGGAGCTCACAATTACGTAGGTTCAACGTAATGAGTGTTTGAGTAATTTTGTGATAACTGCTTACTAAATTTATTTTTTTGTAATCGTTAGTTACATTATTGACTGATGGTTATTTTGTGACACTGCGTGATTTTTAGTTTTGAAATAAACTATTTCTGAGGTATTAATTGCGCTAAACAATCAAAGTAATTTGAATTTTCATGTTCAGTAATTAATATTTCAAAACATTTAATTATTGTGTTTTGTTGTAATTAAATCATGTGTTAAATCTATATATGTGCGTTGTTAATCGGTGCGGATGTGTGTGTTGTTGAAATGGTCTAGTCATCATTACTTAAATTTTTTCCACTTGTTTTCTTTTTTCATGATAATTAAGATATAAATTTAATTATTCACTCATATGGCCTTCCTGAATAAAAAAATTTGATTATTCGAATAAATGAAAAATGTTTATAATAAATTTTTAAACTCTTTTAAATATACAAACTCATCAACAAGACAGAATGGTATGCTTTGCTCTGTTATAAGTAGAACTAGGACAAATGAAAGAAATTGGTCGGTTCGAGGAATAAAGCTATGGAATGCTGTTGTCAGTGTTGAGGCTAGAACTATGCCAATGAATTTGTTCAAAAATTATGTTAAAGAAAGTTTATTTAGTGATGTTGTTGAAATTGGCAAAATTTTGAGAATTGTATGACCTACTGAATTTTATTTATTTTCGTTTTTTTCATTTCATCTGAACTAGAATAACAATTAATTTCTGCCAAACTTTTATTAGTAGACAGTTTTTGTTTCTATTGATTATGATATTTTATTCTGTTAAATATAACATTTTGATTTATTGCTTAATTCGACAATTATTGAACATCTTGCACCTCAGTTAAGGTAATCAGCACAAGTTTTCATTATAACTTCCTGGATAAAAAAATTTGATTATTCGAATAAATGAAAAATGTTTATAATAAATTTTATCTTAATTTCTCAATTTCATATATTTTTAAGCAATCTTTGACATAAAAAATAAAATAAAATAATTGGTAATATATAATACAAAAACAACATAATTTCATATAACAAATGTTGTTTTGTTGATCAACAACTGGTCTAGTCAAAATGTTTAATTCAAATTAATTAATAAAATGCATTCGAATAATTAAGCAATTGAAAAAATTCTGAAATTCATCTATTATACCTGGAACATCTCTTTGACTTAGAACCCGATGTTCTCTGGTTATATTAAACAGTTTATCAAGTTTTGAACTAGTATCCAATGAAGCTTCAAAAAGCCAAGGAGAAAACAGTTCAACTTGAAAATTCATTGCACCTGCGTGCCACGTTATGTCACCATTTCGAACAGCTTCTAAAAATATGCTTCGTTGAGATTGGTCTGGACACTGAAAATTGAAATAAAAATAAATGTCACAACTTTAGTAAGAAATATAAAAACTATAGTCAAATGACCAAAAGTTTTACTCCGGATAATTCTAAACCGTTAGGGCAATTAAGGAACAAATTAACTAGCCAGGGATGAGTTGTATAAACCATGTTCTCAACATAACCACTGTCTCTTAATTCCTTTGCTATAAAGGCCGCCCGTAAGAAATATTTTTGGAAATATTCATTGAGAATAACGTTAATAAAATTGGCATATCCAACATCTAGTATGAATGAAATTTATGTAATTATTATGATAAATGGTTGTATAATTATATGGAGAATATTTAATAAAAATGAACTGTTTTAAAAAATAACATGGAATCACAAATTTTTTGAAAAAAAAATAAAACATTGTTTTTCCTAATCATTTTGCTTCTAATTTATTTAAATTATTATTTTTGGAATGACATGATTCTTAGCAAGTAATAAAAAAGAAAACTTTTCGTATTGTTCTGTTCAATCAATAAACGATTTTTGACTGGACAACATGCCAGACCACATTACTGCTTTGTCTGTTTCGACTTACCATTTGACAACTGATTTTATTCGTAAATTCTAAATGAACGACTATCATCATAAAATGGTATAATAGCATTAAATTTTAAAAGATGATACCTGTTACTGTTCAGTTATAAAACTTAAATAATTAAGCAATTATATATTATACATTAATTATAATAATTTATATTGTATTGTAGATTTGTAGAGCGCCTCTACTAAGCTATCTTTAGCGGCGACACGCACACACACACCAATATACATATATATAATCTTTGGAAAATGGCGGAAGGAATAATTGTCGAGGTTAAAAGCGATAAAAAATACGTAATTGATACGTTGTTGTGTTTTATTTGGTATGTTCGAAACCAGATAAATGAAAAGGAAATGAAAACTTCTTTTTGCGATTTATTTGAAGTTGACGATGTAAAAAAAGTGCAAAGTTTTGAAGCCAGCACACTATCGCTCAGCCTGCCGGAGTTTTCCGAAGACGTTGACAAGAATAAAATGTGGGACGAATTTCTTAGTATATGTCGGTTAATTTTTGAAACTAAAGTCGAAGACAAATTTCCCTGTTTTCTCGCTGATGACTTGTGAAAAGTTACTAATTGTGACAATAGATTCGAGAAATTGTCAACTGAACAGGTGAGGTTGCAAAAAAGTGTTATTCAAAATAGTCCGGCCGTTCTGGTATTTTTTGAAGAGCGTGGCAATATACTGAGTGATGTCCAAAAAAAGGTGAACAGTATTGTGTGCAGTGATGTATGCGCTGATGGAGATTCAGATGCTGAGACATCAGTCGCTAAAAATTTGTCTGACATTGCTGAAGAAGGTAACAATGATGATGGAAATTTTATAACAGTCATACGCAAGAAAAGAAGAAACATTTTTTTATCAACTAATACAAGTCCATGTTGTCATGCAATATCAAAGACCACTGTTGAACCTGATGGGCCTACGCAATAAAAAATATCAGCTAGTAAAGTTGTATATCGGAAAAAATTTTATCACAATGGTAATGTTTCAAAGACTTGTGCATCCAATGTTGTTGACCACCTTGAGTCAATTTATGTTAAAGTTTTGTCTTGCTATCCTGTATTCAAGAGGAGAGATGACAAAATAAAACTTGATGAAACCCACCCTTCTACGTCATTCCGGTTGTGTGTAGATGAGAAGTATGCGGAAATAGTTGAAAGATCAAGTTCTTGGCCTGATTATGTTCAGGTTAGAAATTGGGTTTTCAATAGCAAACAGCAAAAGTGGCAGCACCAGAAATGCCGATGTCAATGTCAGGACATGTTTTGATGTGAAACGATGATATGGAACTAGCGTCATGTTTTATTTGCAAACTTTAAATTTATGATTTGTTAATTTGACTTAAATTTTTTTTTTCATTTACCCGCTTTTTTTTATATTATGCAAGTATACATTGTATATTCGTTTAATGTACATTGTGGATAAACTGTTGACTTTTGACAATAATTTCTTTAATTTATTGTTACTAGATTT